GACGCACCAATCGAAGCGCTTCACTCTCCCGCTGACTCAAAACCGGGCCGATGATCTACGGCCCCCGTCCCTCATCACTTCAGTTCGTCCCGTCTGCTGCGCGTTGGGAGGAATGAAGCTGAGGGGGGAGAGGGGGGGGGTGGGGGGGGGGGGGGGGGGGAGGGGGGTTGGGGCGCAGATGGATGTGTTGATTAGCAGTTTTTGTTCACCTTCTCCTGGCTGCTGGGAAATATCAGATGTCTGGCTGGTAGCAGCGGCGGCTCTGCGGGTCGACTGACTACACACAGAATGCGTATGGAAATGTGAAAAGCGCCTGCGGGGGTGTCTCCGGGAGGCGGGTCGGGTTTCTGACAAAACGCTGTCTCACTGAGACCCCCCCCCTCCCCCCCTCCTCCCTCCAGACTTGTTGCGTACTGTATGTCCTAAAGACGGGACTTGATGGGTCTGCACTGACAGGACTAAACAGCATCAATAGTTTCTGTGGGGGAGATAAAAGCTCTCCTGTTCCTCCCCCCCCCCCCCGCCTTTGTTCCCCGGTTCCGCCTCCTATTGCAGCTCATAGGGCGTCGGGCTGCTAATGATACCCGCGAACCAACGCCGCCTCACACGTGTCTATTAATACATCGCCATCATCATCATCCTGCGAGGCCGGCGGCGCAGCGGGTTTAATTTTAGCACCGTCATCTCTTGGCTCCTCGCCAGCTCCCATTGTATCATCCCGGTGTGGGAGCGATGGGATTTTGAAGAAGAAGAAGAAAAAAGTTTGTCACAGGGGCCACAAGCGACGCACTCTCTCGGGAAGAGAGAACGGATCCGTAAAGGTATTTATTAAACTAGATTCGAGAAGCAACGCCCCCCCCCCCTCCCCCCTCCCTAAAACACTGGCAAAATAACTATTGAGGTCACGTTTCTTGCTGCCCGTGGAAGTGGGTCACTCGTTCCACTGGTCAGCCTCGTGAGTCATTTGTAAACACCCCGACTGCAGAGGACACGACGCACAAGACGTTCTTGTAAGCGTCTGACATGAAGTTCAGGTGTTCGGCCAGCAGAAGGGGGAGCTGCTGCTGCTGCTGCGAGCCCCCCCCCCACTCCCTGCCTTGACCTTTAACCCCCGTAGTGACATTCCCTCGGGATTCCGTACGCATCATCAAAGTTCTGAAACTCTCTCTCTGTCTTCGGGGAGGGCTGGAGAGGCCGGGCGGTTGTCGACGGCAAGGTGACAGGTGTGCGTCACAAGGTCTGGGGAAGGGAGACAAATGTGATTTTTTTTTTTATTTGAGGAGATAATAAACTAGAGCAAAGTTATGGAAAAGCTCGGGGCTTTAGTTACATAACTGTAATAAGCGTGTCCCCCCCAAAAAAAAGGATGAGCACTAAAGTTAAATTGGTATTCAGGTTGCAGATGAGGAATACCTGTGCGTCGACATCCCTTCCCAGCAGATGACCACAGCCCCACAGGTTGTTACTCAGCAGCGCCCCCCGCGGTCCTGAAACAGAGCTCGTTTTCATCATAACAAGTGCGCACTAAAAAGCCAGATTACTATTAAGGACCTAGTGGTGTCTTTCGTGACGCAGCGGATTGTTGTTTGACATCTGAGGGAAAAAAACAAGCTGCGTCACCAGTGACTTTTTCTCACCCGCGAAGTGAACGTTTCGGCTTTTTTTATTTTTTATTTTACGGTTTTCGCAAAACAACAGAACAGCCTCGCGTGCGCCAAAGTGCGTGACCACGAGCGGGAAGCCTCTTTATCGTGCGTTCCTTTTATTGTCTACCGCGTGTCAGTCGTTGGTTTTAAGCCATTTGAATTGCCCTGTCGTTGAAATGTGTATCTATACTTATAAAATCACTGATGGTACAAGAAGACAACAGCGTGAGGTGTTGAATGACGGTGCCGATAGCGACTGCGTAACATCCTCCTGCGCTCACAACAACAGAATTACGCACCACCCGTCTGCTGCGCAGCATCCTATTCCCACTTCTCCCGTCGCACGCCATCCGCTCCGCGCGTTGTTTACGTCTTCGTTTTACCATCGCCGCGGTGGCACAACGCATCGCATTTCAGCCGCAGCACGCGCAGGCGGAAATTCCCGCAGGTCCCCATGTGGCTCGTCCGCTGACGCAGTTGAATTTACCTGTTGTCATGTCGTCGATGAACAAGAAGAAGAAGAAGAAGAAGAAGAAGAGTGTGCCTAACCCCGTTTCATCAACGCCTTCTCCCCATGTTTAATGTTCGCCTCCAAATGCGTGACTTTAAAAAAAAAAGAAGGATTTCCTTCATTACTTTTTACTTTGTTACGTAATCGACTCTGTGCTTTGAATACGACCTGTTCACGCTGCGCGCGAGCGGTTGTGGTGGCATTACGCAACGTGCGCAGCGTTGTGTCGCTGTCTTCCTATAATAACAGAGAATGACTTACGTGGTTCATCGCGAGCATGTCCCCCCCCCCCCCCCTCCAACTCCCTCTTCCCAGCCCCTCCCCCGAACTCCATCTCGGTTCCGAAAGGGGTCTCATCCGTGTCCCGGTCGGCTCCACGTCCTCGGGTGCGCGCTCGGTCCTGGTGTCGCTGTTATCAATCTGTGAGCGTGCGTTATCACTGAGTATCCCCCCCGAACGGTTTTCCATAGCGCAACTCGGGAAGCCCCGCCCACGACACTCCCCTTCCCGCTGGTTGGCTGGAGGGTTTTGTCCTCTTCGCCAGAATCACATGTGGCTGACGCATGTTTACAAACATCAGTGGAATCACGTGGTGGCCTTTACCGTAAAGCACCTCCTTTTAACGCGGCGACCGGATGTCGTGCTGAGATTGTATGGATTATCTTTCAATAGCGTTACAATAAAGTTAAACATACTTTAATGTATTTCTAAGCAATATATTAACGGCCATATAGAACTAGTTACATAATAATTATCAAAGCATTTGAATATAGATTTAGAGAGTCAGAAGCAGGTAAAGGTTTGTAATCCTTTGTGATACGCAGTCCATATGAAGTCCACTATTGTCAACACTCATACTCATACCTGCTATAACCAGTGATTTATATGTGTCATAATATCCACAGCATAGTGAAAGATAGGAATCCCCATGGTTTTATCCATCAGGCATTTTCCTCTACAAGATTACTATTGTTTTGATCAATAATGTTGATATTAATGTTGGGTATATATCCAGACATTTGAGAGGTGACAAGACAAAAAAACAAACACTTTATTGTAATGCAGTTTTTGTAGCAACAGATGGCAGTGTAACACTTTGAAAACCCACAAGGTGCGTGGTGGCGTCATACTGAGTTACAATTTAATTCATAAATATATCGTAAGTGTGTATTCTATGCGGGTTATCGATGATGAATGTACGGCGAACTGCGTAACTCGCTCCTCGCTGCTTCACTTGAGGGCAACTTACGGTAAGTGACGTGATTCACTCCTAATCACTCTCCCTTACGGTAATTGACGCGTGACGTCACTCGTGTTTTGGCGCGCTATCCCGCAGACCCACCCGCATTGAAGTCAACAGACCCTTTTAAACACGAACTCTCGCAGCCTTTCCAAGGGCAGGTATGTCAAAGACTCCAAAGGCGTAGCTCAGAAAGTACTTCCTTTAAGTTAAAATGCATGACGTCACACAACTCTCACCGGCATTTGGAACGAGAAGAAGCCTCGGACGCGTCTGGCGAACAGTCGCCCATCAACAGCATCGATGTAACTTAACGCGTGTACACCCGGAGCTTTTCCCAATGGAAAACGACACTTTTTAAAAGTCATCATAAAGCGCAGACCCTCACGATAAAGCACAGACTTGCTGGTGTTGTTCAGTCTCCTGACGGCTGAAATAACGAGGCGCGTCCAGCAGGTGGAGCCACAGCATCTGTAGAGAACAGCTGTTCTGTCTCGCATGAGAGTCGGTGTGGTTCCGTGGAATGTCACGTGTGTTTGTACTCGAGGTCCTTGTGGGCCGAATGTTACTGTGTGTGAACATTTTCATTTGCTGTCACTGTAAAACTTGTTTTATACGTGTGTGTGTGTCTGTATTACGTGTATCTGATGTAATCTAAAATAGGTATGTGTGTAATCCAATATCATAACAATAATATAATGTGAATGAGGCCTGCGGGATAATCAATACTTCAGCAAAAATACCTCCCTGCATTTATGTAAAACGTGGGTGTATGTTTTTACTGCTGGACGTATTTGAAAGGGATTTTTCCGTCACCAATCAGGCTGCTTGGTTCATTCTGAGAAGTATAATGTATGAAAGATTAACTCATTGACTCATTAGTCAATGACTCGGCCCGCTGGCTCCTGGTGTCCACATGCAGCAAAGATATTTAACAAACAAAAATTAATATAAAACTAATCGCGTCTATAACAAAGCATGGAGTTCTCACATCGTAGCAGTTGTGAAAAATGAGAGCTCGGGTGTAAAAAAGCGTCGCCGTTTAGCATGCCGTTCCGTTTGTTGTTGTAGGGAAACGGCCTCGCTCAGAGTCACCGGCGGGCCGCTGTCGGCAAACACTGCCCTGACCTTCGCTCCGCTCCGGCTCTACGGCCGGCGTGCTCGGTAAGCAACCCGTCACAGCGGGCATGTAACGTGTCGGTGTAACAAGAAGGTCACATCAGCTGGAATGGGGGGATCAGTCTTTTCACACACACACACACACACACACACACACACACACACACACACACACCGTCTCACCGTCTTATATCTGTGACCTTGTGACCACATGTGTGACAGAATCTTCTCGGCCATCAGGAACCCATAAATCAATGCCTTTTTTGTACTAGGCAACATGACTAATGATGCATTGTTAATTTTAGCTTTTGAAACAAAGGTAAACATCACATCATTAAGTCCTGTAATTGCTTCATTTTCCTTTGGTCGGCACTGCGATTCAATACTTCCACACTGGCTAAAAGGAACCGGGCTAACTGGACCGCGTTTGTTTCCAAACCCGTTACCACCCATCATGTAGTGTATGAAAAACAGTAAAAGAAAAAACATTTTACTACTGTTTTTTTATTGCTTTTCTTTCAAACAAATGGTAAATATTTCCAGTGAATTACGCATTAAACATCATCAGCACAAACTCAACTACTCGATGTTGCAAACAAAATTGAGTGTGTCCGCACAGTCCCAGCTTTCCCAGCGGCGTCCCTCCAGCGAGAGGGCCCCGCAGCGCCGGATCCAAGCGGGGCACTGCGGCGTCTCCCCGGGGCTCCAGGCCTGGTAGCTCACCGTCTCCCCGCTCACCCACAGCCAACCGCCGGCCAGGAAGCGCAGGCCGGTCCACACGCGCGCCGCCTGGGCCCACCTGCTGGTCCTCAGGGTCTCGAGCAGGACGGACTCCGAGGTCACGCTGACCAGGTCTCTGTGCTGTTGGCGGCACCGTTCCATGGCCTCCTCCCACGTCTTGTTTTCCTTCACCAAAACCAGGCCGTTGTGGAAACAGGAGAAGGGGCGCCTCTTGCTGCAGTCGTCGTTGCGCCAGCCTGCATCACTGTGGGCCACGCATCCGTGGTCTTGTCCCTCTTCCCCTTGTGCCCAGTTAAAGAAGGACGCGTCCTCCCCTCCCGACCACTCCCACTCACCGCGGTCGTTTCGGTGGAGGCCGATCCAGAACCGAGAACCCTGGGAAACATGAACCTGGAAGATCGTGTCTTCCCGATGGTTGCCGATAGAAGACAGATCCGTGTAGTTCTCTCTGCAGAATTCTCTGGCCTCTGACCACGTCTTTGGGTCTGGGATATAAATGGTCCACCCACAGAGGGCCACCCCGAAGAGAGCCGAGAGAACGAGACCCCCGAGAGCCCTCTTCTGCATAGTGAGTTGTGGTTAAGGTTTCCCTTCTGTGAGATCCTCTCCGCCCGTCAAGGGTTTTTACTACACCTGAAGGAGCAGAAAGCAACCAATCACAGAGCATGTAATGCTGTTATGTAAATTTACCAGAAAGCCTTGAGTGCTCACACACAAAATGAAGCATTCAAATTTGAAGTTGTATGCAAATATTTATGCCATGCTCATTTTAGCCCGATTAACTCTTTATTATGTAGGATTATTCCCTATTAAATGTATAAGGCATTGATCAGGTGTTACCAGTCAGCTTTAGATGCTTTATCCGTCACTTGCGGACGTCAGAGCATTTCCGTATATGTCGCAGTAATATTTGCACTCATAGGGACTCCTCCCTCTACCGTTCACGCCACTCGGTTCACCACCATCACTGTGTTGACTTCACTGAAACATGATGCAAAGCGCCTGTTTAAAATATCCCATTTGCCTTTTCCACATTCAGGCTTTAGTGCCGCTCTGACCCGAATTTGCAATGCAATAGACAACTTTGACTAAAAAACATCATGCTGTAACGATACAAGCATAAACAATGTTTGCTTTGTAATCCTGCGTCATTTATTTATTTCATTCTGGGTCCAAGCGTGTCCAAGTCCAAGCGTGTTTATTTTAAGTCAGTTCCTTTTAATGGAGATTAAATCCAGGATGGTTTAGTTGCAATACATCCTAATTTTCGTCATATTTTGGAGGATCAAGATCCCACTGCTTTGCATTGTGGGTTGTATGGTTTCTTTTTATGGACTGTTAAAAGCAGACCGGCATGGGCTGAAAATACTGAAATATAATAACCAAAGTCAACAGAACTGCACAACACAAAGTACTTTGTACATGGTACTTGTAAAATACATTCAGTTTAATCGGCATGTTGACATTTTGTTACAGATGTTCCACCTGCCGTCGCTGATTTTGATATTTGATGATTAATGTCGCAGACGGAACGACCCGATTGCGTGTTCGGTGGGTGCGTTTACTTTATGCTCTTTACAGAACTTTACTGGACCCGGTGTGGAGGGTATGTGGCGTTTGTGTTTGATCGTGTCACAACAGAAGTAAGCTGAAGACGAGCAACAAAGATATTGTCAACAATCACAGTTTATGCGTCGGGCATTAACCGAGAGAACAAGCGTATTTACACATGCAGTACATCACAAAAGCAGCCAGATGTTCAGAAGAGAAGCTTAAAAAAAAAGAAAAAGTACCGCTAATGTAGAAAAAAAGTTCTGTATCAACAAGGAGACAAAGGCGTTCTCAGGAAAGAACAAACTTCTTTATGTTGTGGAGAAAAATCTTGGCAGGGTTGTTGTTTACCAGCTTGGTAACTCCCATTTTCTCTGAAAAATGCTGCGGCTTTTCATCAATCCCAAAGACAGAAGTGAGAGTAAAAAGTTTGCATTTGTTACTAAAAAAACAAACAAATCTGTACACTGATTTCGTTATTAAAATCATCACACTGATACAAAAAATAAAGAGTACTTTGCAACACATCCTAAACTCCGACCCGAGGTCAGCTGTTGTGGAGGTTTAGTTGCTCATTATGCTCATGGGCCTAAAGCTCTGAGACAAATAGTAAAAGTTTCCAGCAGACATTTCTATGCTTTGAGTAACTTGATTCATTTCATGCCTCCAAAAAGCAACAGCAACTTCCTTATTTTTTTTTTTTTTAACATTGCATTTTTTTTTTTTATTACAGTTTGGCAATTTTTTTTAATCGAAAATATGATTTATGTTGTTCGCTTCGTGTCTACCCGTCTCCCAATTCAGGCAAAGGTCAGGCAAAAACAAACATTTCACAAATCAAATAGTGACCAATAGCAACGTCAGTCCCATCGCTGCTCTGCTCCCAACTTTGGATACAGATGGATCATTTGCTGCTGCCGCTCCAGAAATCCACAGCACCACATTTGGCGCGATTTCGTGCACAATGATTGTTACAACCGGACTGAAGTGGAGGCTCACAAATCCCGGTCAGCAGTGTCGGTCCCAAACACGGCGTGCTTCTGGTGGGCACCAGCAAAGGCCAGCGATCCCAAGTTATTCACATTACAGGCATTGTCATTATCGTCATCGTCGTCCAGAGAGGTGGGGGGGGGGGGTGAAGGGCGGGGGTATGTGGAGGCTTCGTGTCGAATTGGTCTCCGTTTGTCTCTGAGGAAGCAGAGGGGCCTTCTGGGTAGTGTGACCCGGGGGGGAGGGGGGTTGATTGGTGAAAACGGGAGGTCAGAAGGAGAAAAGGGGGTGGGCGGGCGGGGCGGTTACGGCTTACATCTCCGTGTCGGCCACTGGCGTCTGGGTGGCAGAGTGTCCGTTGGTGGCGGGGGCGGCGCTGGTCCCGTTCTCCGGAGGGGTCTCCCCGATGGCGGTGGGCTTGTCGTGGGGCTCTTGGGGTAAAGGAGCCACGGACACCAGCGTGTTGGCCTGGTTCTCCTCGTCCACCTGGAAGGATTCGGCCTGAGGACAAAACGGCGACGTCAGAGCTCCAACCAGTTCAATTTCACTCTTCAAACACGACGTGCGAGCGAGTAGGCCGGCGTTCGCGTGTTGTTTGTGGTTTTATTGCTTTCAGCTGTGTGCACGCGAAGGTTTTGGAGATTGCCTCACTGTCGGAAGGTGAACAATTAAGAGTGCATGCGTGCTTCCTCTTTTACTTCGCTTCAAGCTGTAAGTGTGAACCCATTGTTTAAGTTTGATGAGGTAATCTGTCTGGGAATTGACCGTGACAAAAACATTTGATGCCTGTGATTATACAATAAAAGGCAACGGAGCAATCAGCGCCCGAATCATCGTATGGGTGTGCCCCCATATGTAAACACTTTTGAAAAATGATGTGATGAGCTTCAGAGGGAAAAAACCCCAACTGAAAACCATCTGCAGCCCCCTGGCACGGGAATTAGAAAGCACCTCAAGCTGCTTTGAGTTAAGGGACACGCGAGTCCAGCATGGCCTTCCTTCAGTGAGGAATCAACCTTTTCAGTTCTCATGAGGGAAAAACAGGGAAGAAATAAAATGTCGGTCCAAGTGGGACTTCTTTTAAATGTTGCCAGGTTCTAACCTCGTGATTGTATTCAAACTGGACCTTTTTAAAGACAAGAAAGACGATATCTGAAGACTTTGGTTTGGTTTGGTTTTTTAGCCGTCGCCATCTTGGTTTTTTTCTTTGCTTTTTCACCTGACTACACTAGTTTATTGACATACAACCACAGGTGTCGTCCCCTGATGGCCATTGGCAATTATGCCTGTTTGAATTTCTATGTTTTTGTGTAAAATAATAACCGCCGCAGATCTTAGACTCAGTCGGCATTATCGCTGTGGCACACCTCCTCCAATCCACTCACCAGTCTGATGCCCTTGGAGGTCCTGCGGTGGGTCTTGAAGTAATAACCGGCCACCAGCAGGGCAGCCAGCAACAGGCCGGTCAGCAGCAAGGAAACCAGCACCAGCTTAGAGTTCTTCCCCCCTTCTTCCTCCCTCCCCCAGCGCGGCACGGCCTCCTGCACGTCGGTCTGCGAACAAAAAGTCACGTGCAAAAATATTGTGTTACTGTCAGCAGGAGATCTTCATTAGAAACTACTCCACCTTTTATAGAGCTTTACCTACACAACTTTATCCACATGGTTTTTCAGTATCAAACAATGCTGTGCAGCTGGCAAGTGGATTGTTTGTGGGACACGTCCGACTTGAACCAGCAAATTGGTGCAGCGTGGCAACGTTTTATCGTTGGATGTGCTGGCATTTCATAGCAAAGTCCAAATGAGCACCAGCGTGGTACCGTGGAGCATCTCTACAATGCGAGATAAATATATTTATTTTTATACATACAAAATACTGTACCTTATCTTTGATGTTGTCGTTGTTGAACCTGTCAGCCATGCCGGCAACATCCTCTGCAAATTTAAGAAGATTGATTCGCCGTTACAATTCAAGTGTTTGCACTCGCCTGCAGGATACGCCTCTGTGTGGAGGTTGTGCCGCAGTCTGCAAAACCCAACTATCACGCTACTGACCTTCAACGTATTTTCCCGACACAATGATTTGGTCGGAGTCGTCCTCTTGGTAGATATCAAGCTTACAGCCATCGCCGCACAGCTCCTGCAGAACACTTCCGATCTTCTCTTTGGTGTCTTTCTGCAAGGAGACCCAAATAAAACAGTGTTGGAAACCTTTTTGTTCCAACATGTGAACAGATCCCAAAGGATTTGCCCTCTATGAAATCCCACCGCCTGCTTTTGACACTGCCTTGAACCTTGCACTTCACCCCTAATCCCTTCATCCTCCGCTAAGGATGCATCCAGACGCTGCCGCTCTGCAGGGCCCCTCGATGCCGTTCCTTGAGCGCACCCATGGCTCGATGCGCTGGACGCGGTGACCTTTATCTGGAAATCTTCGCCTTTAAGAAGCGCTTTTATTTGATCTCTGCGCGAGAGACGTCGCGGAACACGTCAATGGAGAAAAGCAAACCCCGAATGGCGATCTGCATTGTGTTTTGATTTCTCTGTCCGAGCACACAAGGGGAACTCTGTTGTCTGCTTAGCTGCTTACAGCCGTCTGTGCACCATTTAAATAATCCCTTCGCTGCTCGGGCTGTGTGAGCTTGACGTCACATTTCGGGTGCGTGGACCGCCACCTCGACGCTGTGATTCCCCTCACAGCTGCTATCCTCGTCATGCCGGAGAGCTGAGCTCAGCAAGCTGGAAGCCAACCGGAGACCGGCATCGAAACCAAGCTAGAGACGATCGTCCTCTCTCGCCAGTTTGTTGCTTTGTTTCGTTAAACGGGCTCCCGCGTGAATATTCTGCTCACGTCACACGGCAGCTGTCTGCTGGTCAGTGGCACCGAAAGCTCCTCCTTAAGCCTTCTGTCGTGCCACATACAGACAAACAATCCACACGTTTTGAACTTACACAGGTGGAGGAGGCCTTCAGCTTCAGATTGACTGCGTTCTTGTCCTTGACGGCCTCTTTGCTGACGCATACGACGTCAACCTGTGGCGCCAGCTGCAGAGAGGAACAGAAACCGCTTGGTTATGCGTGCCATGCTGGACACTAGCAACTCAAAGTCCATCGAACTAACTAGAGACTCGTTTCATTTGTATGGTACAAAATTGCATCCCGTTTTAGCTGAAAGCATATTTGTAGACGAGCCCAAACAAATGTGGCCTGCAGAGGATATTCTTTTCTTATGCAAACGCCGGCCGCCGGAGAAGAACTACTTGCAAATGGCATCATTTGAATGATTTGAAAACGTAATGCATAAGAGAGCCCCCCCCCACAAAACACCAAAGTATTATTGAATGGTATCAAGCACCTTATTTCTTGTATTTGATTGTTATTCTTATTTTTAATTCTATTTAAAAACTGACTTCCAGCCAGCTGTCCTCTTTTCGTGACGCTGCAGATGCCGCTGGACTGTGAGTTGCACACCAGAAGCCTCACATTTGGATGACTTCATGGCCGCTCTCATCTTACCCGCGGAATGTTGTTGGGGCCGTCGCCCCTGGCGGGCAGGGGGGGCGCCGAGGTCTTGGCATGATCCTTGACTGTGACCGGTTCTGTGTTTCTGGTTCCGGCCGCTTCCGTTGCCGTCGCCGATGCTGCTTTGGGCTCTTCGGTCGTATTGGAAAGGGGGGCGTCGGTTGGGGCCACCGTCTCATCTCCCTCTGCGGATCGTTAATTTGTTAGGTTTTAAAATGGAACACTGAGGCTGTCAGACACAGGGCGGGTCAGAGGTTAATAGATACGGTTGATTCTGACTACATAAGCACCAAAGTACTCGTGCCTTTAAATTGTTCTTTGGTTATTTATGAAGAATTTCCTCTCAAGGTGCTGTTGCTCCTGCCTGTTTTGGCTTTTGTCTCTACAGTATAATATCTTTGTGTGTTGTTAACACGTGGTTGGTGTCTGCAGAGGAATGTTATCGCATTACTTCTGTAAGTAAAGTTAATTCCGTCACATTGACTGTAAAAACTTCAAATCAAATTGTTTTCCTCCCACAGATGTGAATATGAATGGCAGTGTTAGTCGCTGATTCTTACCAGCAGCGTTCGACGTAATCGCACCCGTGTCTCCTTGCGGAGTCGTCGGCACCGTTGGTGTTGGCAACGTCGGCATGACAACGTGCTGCGCGTCATCCCCCGCCGCGAGCCCCGCTGCAAGATCACAAGCAGGCTTAACGTTACAATCTGCTTGTCATCAGATTGTTCTCAAGGCTTTTCCAGCTGTCCCAAGGATTCGGTCACACTTTACTCCCATTCAGCGGCTCTTCATCGCCTTCGTCGGGTTATCAATGTGCGGATGTGCTGCTTAAACATCTCGGCGTGTGACTTCTGAACATTGAGAAACTCTGCCATCGATAACGCGGTGGTGGGACAACTCAACTCATTGGCAATAAAACGTAAAACATCTGGAAACCTACTGTTACAGCTACACAACACGCGTGTGTCCAACACATAAACTTATTCCTGTGCTGTGTACCAGAGGTGTGGTGTTCACACTAAAGGGGTTGACATTTATGTGCAGTTCTGTGATTTTTGTGCTGAACCCCTGAAAACCCGGCAAGAATAAAAGAATAATTCCGCATTAAAATGCACCACTCGCATCAATAAGTGCCAACGCGATTGGATGCCGTTGGGCCTCGACTGAGTGAAAATGAGTAGCTTTTAATTCAATCTGCCTGTGAAGCATGGACCCCTCTCACGTCATTGTGACGGAGGTGACATCATAGTTGAGCTCCCGCTCGTTCACTTCCGGCCATTCAGAAGAATCCGAGGCGTTATCGCACAGCGGCTGCCGGGATTCGATGAAGTTGTAAACGCGAGGCAGCTGCTCGTACAGATCGCTCAGTTACCCGCGATGCATGAGCTCAGGCTGTGTGTGTGTGTGTGTGTGTGTGTGAGCCAACAGTGAGATTTATCTGCGTCCCTTGAGGCTCTGCAGTGATGGAGGATTAGTTGAAAAGGTTTTATCGCAGCAGATAGCTGATGTGCTGGGACCCGTGGATCATGAGGTACTCTGAAATGCAATCTTCGCCACTCTGAGGTATTCTGAAAGGATTCCCATGCTCGCAGTGACTCACTTCTCAAGGATGGGACGTACAAAATAAGTTGCATAAATGTGAGCGTGTTGATTTTCCATACAAACCATTAAACCGTTGGATGATCTTATTAAATGTGCTGCTGGAAGGTGCCATCAAAGACATCTCTCTTTCCGATAAGCATTTAAATTATGTAATAGGCCATGACACCATTTTCCATTTTCGTGATCCGTATGACTTTGGGGTTGCAGTCCTTGGTAAAAATCGGCTCAGGTTCCTTCACCTGCAAAGTTGTGTAAACCTGGATCACTTCCAGGGCACATTTCTTAAATTCTCTGAGCAAATTAGTAAGAAGTGGTACCGCACCCTGCAGTCGCTGAGCTAATGAGCAGAGGCCTTTATCGCTCTAATTCACTCAGGTCAGATTACAACGCAGGTTTCAGGAGTCAAACATAATACCCAGCATGCATTCCTTTTCCCCACATTTCCCTCTTTCTGTCTAACAACAACAGCATAACCTCTATCAAAACATTCACCTCTGTAGATCTCATTACTTTCACTGTGGGATTCCTCCCCGGTTGCCAGGTTGAGTTTGTGATGGATTTCAGGTTTGCTGAACTCAACCTTAGTTACTCTTTGTATGAACACAAAATAAAAGTTGCAATGAATGTAGAATAAAATGAGCAACTGTCCGTCATACTGTGTGTGCGGAGCGGAAATAAGCCATCTCTTTGTAACTGGCTCAAACGGTTGAGCAAACACAGCGGAGTCGCTGACCTCCTGAGCGTTTTTACGCTCTCCTCCCCGGCGGTGAAGAAGCAGCAGCAGCAATAAAGAAGCGAAGGCTTCCTCTCTAGAAGTGCTCAAGTTTCACTACGGAGCCAGACTGCTGCCCCTCCTCGCTACCCTTCCTGCCTCTGGTTTACCATTAGGAGCATTAGCGAGGGCGCGGACCGACCACAGGTCAAGGACTCCCTATAACCTCGTTAAGTCGGCCCGACCCCGCCGCCCGTTAGGCCGCAGCCGCCGCCCCTCACCCGCCGCTGTGTGGTCCGCCTGCTTATTTTGCCGGAAAGGACGAGGCTCCAAATGGTGGAGGCAGTCTGGCACGAATCAGGTCTTTGCTCATACAAACGTGACACACGGGAGTGCGAGAGGTTAAAAACGCGATGGCGCGGCTCTGCGATCGCTTTACGTCATCGGGTGATTTGTAGCGGGCGGGCGGGCGTGGGGGGGGGGCTGGGGTGTAAAACAACATGAAGTGTCTGCAGATGGATGCTGCGGCCGATGGAAATGTTTAGTTTTTCAGTTACAGCGTGGAGGTTTGCGGGGATGCTGACGGGGATACTGGGGAGGTATTGTGGTCACTCAAGTTGTTTTCCCTTTTTTTTTATGGAAAAAAACCCACACTGGAACTTTCGTTGATCTCCCCGTTTTGCGGATTTGAAACCATGGCACCGCGAGCGCACTCGTAAAACATTTTCCTAAACGTTTGTTTCGGCGTCAGACCCCCGACACCCCCCCCCATAAAATCCCGTCCACCTTTTTGCCGGGTCCTCCGAATTAGGCAACAACAAACTTCCGTGAGGGGCAGTTCGGGTGTTGAAAATGTTCCCCCCCCCCCCCCCCCCCCCCCCCCATCTCCTGGGACTCCGGGTGGAGGAATGCGGCCAGCTTCGTAACAAGACAAGCCTTCGGCTCCAACGCCCTCCTCCCGCTGCCTGCTCGCCCTCTCCTAGTCACGCACGGCTTATGCCAGGCATCTACTGAGGTGGGATGCGGGCGCCGGGCCAGCACCCCGCCCACGCCGCACAGTGTAACGTGAAGCCACATGCCAAGGGCCACATGGCAACAGGTCATTTCTCTACTGTGGCTGCCGTCAGCCTCCTGGCAGGCTCGCCTCGTGCCTCCTGTGTATTATCTGAACAAAAGTTCTGCATGAAGCCACACGTGTTCTTCTTTGCATGCAACACTTTGCAGTCCATGCCTAATTTTAACGAGTGCAATTCTTCACGGCCACAATTTGTCTGACTTCCTCTTGGGGACAGATTTGTTTCTGCATTCAGTTTTGTTTATTTGTATTTTACATTCTGTGCACGTCCACTTTCCAAATGCATCCATCGCACCCATGAATCGCCATGTACTGTAGATCTTTCCCATAATGAAATAAAAGCGGTTATGTGTTGAGGGCTTTTACATTCACGTTGTTGATTCATAAGTAAAGGCGCAACTCTTGCGAGGTGTGAAAGGTTCCTGGTTGATTCTTTGCAGCTTAACATCAATTTTCTGTGTAAAAGTATTCAGAACAAATCCTCTTCAAAGAGAGAAAAAACAACAATATATTGACGTGCAGATGAATTGCACCATGACGACGCCCCCTTTGAATGTTTAACATGAACCAGCTGTTGCATGTTTTAAAGGGGAAGTCCCTCCCACGGCTGTCCACAAGGGACGGACCCCAGACTAATGTGTCCTGGTGCCCTCGGGGCTCTTCTGTTGGGGTAAACTCCCGCGCAGCGTAACGAGGCGTAGTGAAGGGATAACGGTCTGCGCGCAACAGAGGAACACGGCGTCAAGGTGACGGCCGCCGGGGTTCTGCTCCACCGTCGCCGTTCGCCACGTGACATGAATTCGTGGATTTCGTCTCAGATCTTCCTTTTCCACAAAGGAAGTCGGCAGCCAAGGCCGGTCTCTCTGCTTCCAAAGCGGAGCGTAGACGTCCCATCTGTTATGACTGAGTCCGTGAGAGTCTGTCCAGCTAAGACGGCTTCTATAAACAATCTCGAGACATATGGCCTCCTCTCGTCTCTGCGGGTTTCCGTGTGCAGCAATTCTTTCCTATGTGTCTTGTCCAGGAGAAGCTGTAAGCGTACATTGCATGTACAGTATCGGGGGAGGGGGGGGGTCCGTGGGAAAAGGCAGCTAAGTGCTCACTCAACGATGATAACTACTCAAGGGAGGAAAACCCATTAACTTTTCTTAGTAGTATTCAAATAGATTTTTAAAATGGGCATTAATGTGATGCCTTCTATGCAGTGAGCCCATTTCAGGCTATTGTTTCACCTTCTCTGAGCAACGTAATATTGTACAAAAAAAATCCCTGTCTTGGCTTCTTTTCTGCCCTTGGACCCTGCCTCAAATATTTAGTGTCAAATTACCCCTTTAGAGGTTCATCACTCTGGCATCTATTGGATAGAAATCTGAGCCAAGTGCACACGCCCCCTCCCTCCCCGTACAAATCTATATTTTGTGTAAGCATTTGGAAAATCTAGTTAATCTCTAAGTATGCTATGATATGAAGTATAATTTTCTTAATTTGATATAAAAAAGCACCATAAAAGAAGGGCGGGCTCACTTTCTTTCAGTTGACGCTCCAAGTCAGTTTAAAAGTTTGCATGTGCTGGTGCAGTATTGTTTTTTCCATATGTGGTTACCCCTTTCTGGCGTCTCTGGACCCTTCATGAAATCATTAATCATTGCATGTTTTCCTAATAAGGAGGGTTTCCATGATCTGCTATCTTAAGTCATATCTTTAACCAAACGTAAGCGTTAAGAGTGCTGAGGAATGTGACATTAGAGCTCGGTCCCTTAAACATGCTCTGCAACTCTACCCGCTTTGAAACAACAGACCGCTGACCCTGCTATCGTGACCCCCCCCCCTCAGCCCCCTCTGCCCCCTCCACCCCTGCCCTGTCGTTTCTGTCACAGCGATTAATGGCAGAAGAAGCCGGCCCATTCTTCTCTCGCGGCGAAAACAGCAACTGGAGCTGATGGTTTCAATCAGGCCCGTGGAAGCTGCGCCCAGCTGCAGCATTCACCCCCCCACCCGCCCCCCGAGGCCACTGCAGCCCCCTCGTGCCCGTTTCTGGGGACCACAATCAGGAAACATGACATCTGCTTTCAATTGGGAGCATTATATCGCCCCCCCCACCCCCCCATCCCCTTCTCCACCCCCCCCTTTCCCCTTCCTCCTCCTCACACACACTCACAAGTTGCCCGCCAGTTTCACTGCATTACCTTGAATGAGCCTGGTCTGCTTTGAGTGTGTGCAGGTAGACTGTTAGAGGGGGGGGGGGGGGGGGTTGTTGCAGATTTGGGCGGCAACGGCTCAACATGGATTTTGTCCAGAAAGAATACGAGATGCACTACATCTTTTAATCCTTTAAAAAGAAAAACCTCCCCCAGAGTAATTACTACCCCCCCCCCTCCCCAAACACACACACATCCAGCGCTGGTCGTGAAAAACAACCACCACAGGCCATTAAGACACTAGAGTGCACTTTTGTCCCAAAGAATTGTGTGTGCATTTGAGTCGTCAGCCATCTGACATGTGATGCTCAGAATCCTTTCACGCATCTTCATTTCTAGATCACCAAACCTTCTGGTCGTTTGATAAAGCCGCCTGTTTGGTCGCTTTGCTCGAGAGCCTCCCAACAACAAGCACATGGCAGCGCCGGCACGGCTTAAACTGCGTTACGGAAAACGTTTCATGGGTACAGAGTCTATGTGAACATCTCACCGCTTTCCCACAAGGAGTCTGCTAATCGTCCCCAACTGGGGTTTTTCTCCCCCCGGCGTCTCTCATTACCTCCCCAGCCTCCTCTCTGGGTTGCCGGGGCAACCGTTGCGCTCTCTGACGTCTGTGAATCCGCTCTGACCTCATGGCGTTGAGCACAGTGGTCTTTCCTCCTCTTCCGTAACTCTGCTTCCATCTCCTGGGTCGTGAGTGAGGAGACAGGTGGTTCGTCCCGCCGGTGAGGTCTTGTTTGACTTACGAGGGTTTCTTTGTCCTCCATCTGTATTCAATCTGATATCTGCTCCTTTGCATCTTTTTGTTTTTCCACTCTTTTTTTTTTTTTTGCGACCAAACTTTGCATTTATTGTCTCAAAAGTCAGAGTAAATGTTTTCTGGTCAGAATATTTTTTTCAGAGTAGTTTAATTTTCCAAAGCAGACGTAGCCGATGATCTCATCCCCACCAGCTACACCCGTTGAACAAGGCACGCGGTTTGAATTAAGCTGTGTGTGGTTCTTTTCCAGCCACCGGCTGCAGAGGATCCGATAACCTCGGGTCGTTTCTCAGCTCCCTTTTTCTGGCATCTCGCTCTTACTTCGTGTTTACTTTAAGTCGAACTTCGCTCTCGGCCGCAACTGCAGGATGAAACGACCCATCTGTCTAAAAGACGTCACATTTCTTTTTCATTTCACCGCACGATGTCCTTCCTGCCACTGCAGGCCATTAATGTCATACTCGAGTAGTATTTTTACATTAGGAGAAACAGAAACGGTGTCTTTGCTGTGAGTGAGATATCTAAAAAGTAGATATCTCACTGTGCGTACGAGCCACATGTTGCCTTTCCTCATAGTTTCACAGCCTCAGCTAATGCATCATGATCGCAAACTCCCCTCATCCAAGACACGCACGCTTCATCCGGCCTCACATTACACGGCTAAATATAAATACACACATTTCTCAAAGTCCTTGAAGTTCGTGGGAATCGGGTCAAGGAAATGGCCCCGGTGGAATGTTCACAAATAGTTTAAAACCCATTGAAAAGTCACGGAGGGAACTCTATTTTGGCATCACGCTGCAAATTCATAACTTGAGAATAGAGCTCTTAACCTCGCTTGATCATGTTCATCTTCCATGTGCCTCCACATGACTAAAACCCCTCCCTCTAAAATGATCCCTTTGTTTGCCAAGGAACTCCGAAGTAATATTTTCTTTGAGGGGAAAAAACACGTTTTATTCAAAACCTGGAAAGCCTCACGTTTCCTAGATGTCTTCCCAGTACAGAGATGTAGTCTGTTTGCATTGCAGAGAGTCAAAAAATAAGCTGTTGGGTTAAAACCTGGGTTCAACTCAAAGGCCATTCAAAGAAACACCCCACCCTCCCTCTCCACACACACACACACACACACACACACACACACCCTCCCTCTCTCCCCCCCTGGATGGCCACACAGTCTCCCCCAGAAGTCGACCCTCTTTGCATTGTTCTGTTTGTTTTTTTTGACTACTCACCGTTCAGCAGCGAGGCGATGAGAAGCAACGCAAGAGCCAGCGTTGGACGCGGCCCGCGTGGTTTCTGCGGCGAGGATGCTGCCATTTCAGGTCCGTCGGGTGGGAGCGAAAATGCAGCGGGAGGAAAAAGAGGGTGACGCTGGCCGAGCAGGGGCAGTTAGGGGTTTCCTCTTACCCAAAGCGGGACAGGGTGGATAAAGCGCCACTTGTGTTCTCGCAGTTCTTATATAGTCCCCCCACCCCCCCCTCCCTCCCTCCCCTACAGACCCCCGCCCCCATTCCTCCTCCCTCACCGAGGCCTGGCCCTACACCCTGTCTTACTTTAAACCTTCCTCCCTGACCCCACCCCTCTACGAGAAGCAAGGCAGCCGGGGAGCAGAATGGGGTCTTGTTGGGGATGTTGTCTATTCATGAAACAATAAATAATAGAAAGATGCGTTAGTCTTGAACTACAAATCGATATGTAGCCGTTAAGTCGACCCTCTCGGTGCTCGGATGACCCCCCCCCCCCCCCCCCCGGTGCGGCCGCAGCACGTTGAAGGAGCCTGTTGGTCACAGTTTCTGCCGGTGCCGCGGAGCCCAGTCGGCCCCCGGGGGGGGGGGGGGGCACAATGGAAGGTGACAGTGGTCTCTGGTCGTTAATAGGCTTATGGAGATAGACCTGCCGAGCAGAATATCATCCCGCAAACAAAAGTGGGACCCACTGTTATGCTAATGGATTTAATCCATGTCAGCGGCCCCGAAGCCCCCACCCCTCCCCCGGCGCCCACACTGCCCACTCAGCACAGCCATCAATCAACCACGGCCGTCCCGCTAGTGAAGACACCACAGGGTCCGCTGAAACCTTTCACACTTCCACAGAGTCCTGAAGGCGCCCAGCCCCCCACAATGTGGGGATCACTGCTTTACTCTCGTTAGCTCTTTTGCTAGCTGTTCTCATGCACTCTGTGAATCGCACATCTGGAACCACTGGCAAAGGTATGCTAAATGACTTGTTAAGAAAAAAAGAAGACCCCCCCCCCCCCCTCCCAGACCGAAAAGAAAGCCAACGACAGCGAGTCGAGAGAAGTAAACTGCTACATACTTGTGAAATGCTCTTGTAATTTGACACCAGTCCCAGTGCCAAGGTCCCCCCTGTCCCCGTTTTTGCCCCCCCCCCCCCCCCTCCCCCCATCAACCCATTTCCTCTCTCTTACCCCCCCTTCTTGCCAGACTCCTATCAAACATTCAGCTTAAACAGCGGGGCGTTGAGGTGGGTAATCGGCACCCCGCTGTTACTCGAGATGAGCTTTGCTGAAAACCCTTAACTGAATAATCAGCGGCGTGCCCATTACAGCAGCCACAGCTGGGCGGCAGCGGCCATGTCACCCCAGTAAAACATTAATTAGCCCGTTAGCTAGTTAAATATTTCTGCTACTTGAGTCCTCGTGAATCACGGCGTCCTGTCAGATGGCAGTAAAGGCCGGAATCGACCTTTCACCCTCAACAGGACGACAAACGCTACACATTCCTTTGTCCTTTACCCTGGTTTATTCTTCCTTTTGTACCTTTTGATTTCACTTGTACAAGGACCCAAATGCTCTCATTTTAGCATTTCTTTCTGACGCGTTCTACACAACTTCATTGTAAATTGAAGGTGCTAATAAAAACCTTGCATCTGGTACCCTCCGTTGTTAGACGCCCAACGAAGCGCAGCGTAAGTGTCACAGAGCGGCTCGTCGCAGACCAGCCAACCGACACAGAGCCCATTTGGCCGGCCTCATACGCCTCTATGTGGTTATAGCATGTTGACTGACCATCTGTAGGACCAACAGAAATCCTGAACTGTTTCCAAATATTTTATTTTATTCTTATCCATTTTTCCAGTCCATTCCAAGAGACTTGGTTAACACATGCACACCTGTTTTGATCTCAAATAAAAAAAACCTAATGTCAGCCATTAGTTTTGAACAGTTGACTGACAAAGGACAGGAATAGTTTTGGCTGTTCATTAAGTAAATTGGTTTCTTCAAGCTGGTTTCTTCTAGCAAACAGTTCGCTAGATTAAAAAAGAAATATTGCTCCAAAGCTAGCTAGCGTCACTTGTTCCTAAAAGTTACGAGATCTAACTGGAAAGTCTGCAACACTTACTTAATCTTTTCAGGCCTCCCATTTAAGCCACTCCCCCAAAAGTATTTTTGGGGGAGTGGCTTAAGTGGCAATGAAATAGGTGTTTTTGGAACTCAAAGTTGTAAAGGAAGATAAACCGGATTGTGAATGTAGTCTCTTGTGGAAATTCATATTACATCACGACAGTAATTAATAAATCTAATGTTACAAAAAGAAAAGGAAAAAAAATTAAATGATTTGATTGCCAGTTTAGCTTTGAAGTCAAAATTGGATAAAAAAATTCCCCTTCTAACACTTTTAATAAACAATCACTTATATTTAATTTAAATAATAATAACACATTTTATTTACAACGTTTACAACATGGAAGAAAAAACGTATAGAGTAAAATTCGCTGTACAGAGCTCAACGATTCCGTTTCACTGGGCTTTTAGAACACACATAATAAATACTAAATAATATGAGCGATGGCATTACTGATCACTTTCTAGGTTAAAACTAGTCAAATGGGCTTCTAACTGATAATAATATGTCACTTCTTGGATGTATTTCAGGCAAAAGCTCCCTGGCCATTCATCCAAGCAGTCTTATTTTGTGAAAATGGGTATTGCGGCGGCTAATTGGACACCCATAGGATCCCTGAGTCTTGGCTGACGAATCCGTAGGCTCCTTTAAATGGCAGACACCCCCCACCCCCCCACCACAAGTATAGAGCTAATTAGCTGAATATGTCATTGGTTATATTCTCAGAAGACTTCTGTGTTTCTTTCTTTTCTTTTCACAGAACTTAAAGTCAAAGGGATAAATGTAAGTTTTGTATCTGCTTAAAGATCAAAATACGTTTTCAAAATGTTTCGCAGTATCAAAAGTGTAGCTATTTATTTCAGTCTGAGAGCAAGAGTTCACCAGCAGTGAAAGAGCCTCAGGCAGAGCGCCGCTCCAAATGTGATGAGCATTTGTGTGGAAGTCAATTCCTTCGTCACAGATTTATTATAATTTAACATCCGACATTTACGGTTTTGTTTTGACTTAACGAACGCACCAAAAGCAATTCACCCGTCGCTAAGCCCCACCCCCTTTGACCTCTCACCTCCGGCACCTTAATGCAGCACATCTTTTGTAAAAATCGAAAAGGCAGTCCCCAATATATATATTCAGAATGTCATACTAAGTCAGCAGAGAAAACCGGTTAAGAAGATGAAGACGCCACAGATCAACGTGTTGGATGGAACCACCACATCGGCCGTGGTTAGCGGGGCGTGTCATAGAGGTGCGAATGGTAGGTAATGTTGTGCTGATGCGCTCTTGTAACTTCTCACGTTTTTATGTATAAATGTAGCGTTTTTGTATCTTCTACACTAAAACCATGAACACCTCGATATCTTCCTCAAACTAAAAATGAAGCTGAAAATAGGAGTCTCAGGATGGGGGGGGCTGGCTGATGCCAAGCTGGGATTGGTCAGTGTGTTCCCAAGGGGCGGGACTTGGAGAATGGTCACGTGATGTTTTTCTTTTTACATTACATGTCATTTAGCTGACCCTTTTATACAATAAGTGCATTTTAACCATCAGGATACAAAAACGAACAAGAAACAAGAAAGCGCAATTTCATCAAATAAGCCAATATACAACTCGCTTTGGATAAGAGCCATTATAAGTACAATTTAAGTGCTACAATTTGTTTGCTTTGCGGCGCTAACGGTGAGGACATTTTTTAAAGTCCTCGTCCAACTTTGATTTTGGTCAATATATTTGTCGAAACACAATTTCAATCACAGAAAGCACATACACGTCGTAATACTCATTTCATGGAGCTTTGTAAATTGGTGCCGTAAATCCCACAAAGGGAGCCTCTCTTGAAGGGATCTTGTGAGTGCAGGAGAGGGAAGCTGAGCAGGAATGGAAGTTAAGGGGGGGAGGGAGGAGGAGGGGGAGGAGGAGTAGTGGGAGGGGATTTCATTTCAAAATGCAGCAATTGACCGTAACCAGAGCAGCGAGGTCTCTGCCGTCGAGCGAGCGGGAAGCAGACAAAGGAAAGCGGACAGAGAGGAAGTGCCGCTTTGATGAAGTCACTTCTTCCCAAAAGAAAACACGTGTGCAGGACGTCCTGGTGTGGCTTCTCTTCACGGTGTCGGGACGATCTGTGGTCTCTGTAAGTCTGTGTCATGACCTACAGGACCACCGCATGGCTCTGCAGATGTCCCATACACGCACGCACACACACACACACACACACACACACACACACACACACACACACACACACACACACACACACACACACACACACACACACACACACACACACAGATGTGATGATTACTTTGGCCACAAGATGGCACCATTAGACTGGCGTGCTGTCCAGGTATCTTCCCGGGAAGTTCATTCATTGCTGCACACTGAATATTTTGCAGGTATTTAAGAGAATACAGCCGCCTGGTTATGAAGGCCGTTATGACCAGTGTCTGAAAGTGACTTGTGGACAAATGAGAAAACTACTAAAGGAAATTGGGGAAATGCCCCAAATGCCGTGGCAGATTATCTCATCCAATGGAACAAGTTGTTACTGATGCTGTGGTCATTTGCAATTCATTGTCATCAAGTTTTGTATTTATTTTCCCCCGTTTGGACGTCTGTCTTTTGTCCTCGGCAAGAGCAAACCTATCTCTGCCTGTTTGATTGTGTGCACTCTAATATTGCAGACTGCATTTAATTAAAGCAGCAGGACACTGAACAGAGCTCAAGGATGCGTTCCAGCGGCGCTGAAGGGAATTCGGGACCTGATTGTGCAGAATACTGGGAGTGAACGTCATGGAAGGGAAAAACAATTATGTAATAATTAATTATTATTACACATTTTGTGTCTGTATCTGCTGATAGTCGCCGGTTTTCCTCCGAGCTGAAAGGAGCCTCTGCCCATAAAGAGAGGCATCCATACTGTGAAGCAATTATATCAACCCTGCACAATATCACACGGTACAGTTTCTGCAACAAGAAAAAATGTTTTGTTATTCATAAAGGGATGAAGTGATGATTATTTTCACTGTACATGAATGCAGTCCATGTCTGCTGAATAAAAAAAGACTCCTTTGATTTAATCGG